CCTCGCCAAGGTGGAGGCAGCCCCCCCACGGCACCCTGCTGGCTGCGCGCCTCACTCCTGCACGGAATGGCTCCTGGGACAGAGAGGTTTCTGTCTGCGGGGAACCGTGCTTATAAGCTCCGCCAGTGTACTGAGAGGATGCTTAGTGCACGCCCAAAATAGGTCTCACTTTGACGACACAGCAGCACACCGCAAGGAACATTTCCTTTCATTTACCCCCTGCTAAAATCTAACTAGTGATGGCAGATTAACGGAATGGGATGAGCAGGAACGCCGTTCATCACTTGAGTGTTGAACTGACTGACCGTGTATTTGTGACAAGCAGCAGCCTCACGGGCGACCCCAGGACACTGTCAGGTCCTGGTGTCCGGGAAGAGCGGCCAGGCTGGTGTGGGCTGTGACACCAGTGTGGAGCCCACCCTAGGGGCTGAGATCCAGGGATGGAGGCTCTGCAGCCTCGTGAGGAGCCAAATGGACGTTAACAGGACGCCATGTGTTTTTCTGCACAGTGCCTAAAGTGTGAAGACTAAAAGGCACACTGGTGCCCTAAGAAAGTTCAGACAGCAAAGGCCTGTGCGGGTGTGAACTGGTGTGAACTGGCGGCCTGGGAGAGAAGGGTGGGGGTAGATGCCCTCTCAGACCCCACGCTGCGCTCATAGTTTTGCTCTGAGCACCAGTATTTAGGGGATGGAAGCTTCTATAGGGAAACCCCAAGGTTAAGTAAGGGAACACCCACACCAAGCTCTGGCTAGGTCTTCCTCCTGCATTCCGAGTTCAAGTGCACCTGGTTTGCACAACATGTTTTTGGAACAGATGCTGCTCCTGCCACCTTGCCCCCCTTCTTTACATATTAACCGTCCCCTGTGAGACAGTCATTCCGAATCTCCCATGATTTGCTTAATATGTAACTCTGGAAATACCAATTTCTAGAATGTTCTCTCTTGGTATATGTTCCCCATGTTTCAAGTCCTCAGAATTAATTATATTAGCTTTCTCACATTCATTGCCCTTCTAGTTTTAGAATATTGTTTTCTCAAAAGCTAATGCCTAACACTAAGTTGGCCATTTCTCCAGGGCTGGCAGCCACGTGTGCCCTCAGGACATCTTGGGCTGCAGCTATTACTAAACTGTTGCCATTGTCAACAGATTACTAATTAGAGTTAAATGCACTTGTAATCCAAATGGCTTAGTCATTAAACTGAGCACCTGAAGCAGCAGTTCCATTCTAATTGAGCAGAGTTCAACCTTGCCACTCAGATCCACGGTTGGAAGTGTCAAAACTAGAGATGCCGTGGAGAGAGACTCAACAAACGGGACTACCTTAAAATAAAAAGGTTCTGCACAGCTAAAGACATATCTACCAAACCACAAAGACAGCCAAACAATTGGGAGAAAATATTTACCAGCAATATATCAGAGAAGCGCCAAATACCCATCATATACAGGGAACTCAAGAAACGAATCCCTCCCAAACCCAACAAACCAACCATTAAATGGGCAAGGGAACTGAAGAGAGACTTCTCAGAAGAAGAGATAAAAATAGCAAAGAGACACACGAGGAAATGTTCACCATCCCTGGTTGTAAAGGAAATGCAAATAAAGACAATCCTGAGATACCACCTTACCCCAGTCAGAATGGCCCACATCCTCAAGTCAGCCAACGACAAATGCTGGAGGGGATGTGGAGAAAGAGGAACCCTATTATACTGCTGGTGGGAATGTACACTTATACAACCACTTTGGAAAGCAGTCTGGAGGGTCCTCAGAAAGCTAAAGATTGACCTCCCTTACGACCCAGTCATACCACTTCTAGGCATCTACCCTGAGCAACAGGAACCAGTATACAAAGACACGTGCACCTCCATGTTTATTGCAACACTGTTCACAATAGCCAGGATATGGAAACAACCCAGATGTCCCACCACAGATGAGTGGATCCAAAAATGGTGGTATCTTTACACAATGGAATATTATGCAGCCATTAGAAATGACAAAATAATGGCATTTGCAGGGAAATGGATGGAACTAGAACAAATCATGTTGAGTGAGGTAAGCCAAGATCAGTGAGACAAACAGCACGTGGATGTTAGGAGATATAACAATGTAAATAGGACTCAAGAAACAAAGGACCTCTACTTAATTTGCCATATCATTTCTAAACGACTCATACTAACTAGTACTACACTGCAAGTTATCCTTAATTTCAGGACAGATTTTATATTTCAAAGAGGCTTCCAGATTCTACCAAAGGCAGTGCCAGGTGTGGGTCATGTGGAAAGTATTAAACCTCATCCAAGCTTTCTTGAATAACCATACAGTCATGTAGAATTTCAATTAAAGGTTATGTCTAAATCCCTGGAAGGAAAGTCTTTGAGACTCTTGTCTCCAATTAACCATCAAAAGGCCAGCAGTAGAGATGTGGCTCAAGTGGTACAGTGTTAGATGTCAGCCCAAAAGCTCAGGCACAGAGCCTAGGCCCAGTGTTCAAGCCCCAAGACAGTATACAAACAAAAGTCAAAAAAAAAACAGAAAATATGAAAGTGTCAGACAATCCATATTACTTTCACATTTTACAGCTCATCTTTGATATTTGTGTCCTTTTGGTTCTTAGGCAACGATGACATGTATATGTCAAGCGACACATTCACAAGTAGGCATTCTCATCTAAAGAGGGACGGATGTAAGTATTTCACAGAAGCTGCTCATAACGGATCTCTATGGGATATTGTTCTGATCTAGTAATGGTTTTACCATAATGCGCACAGAACAGCCTTTTCTCCCATTGTAATCTTAAATACTGCATGTGTCAGGCAGAATCTCAGGGACTGTGTGTGTCAGGTGGAATCTCAGGGACCGTGTGTGTCAGGTGGAATCTCAGGCACTGTGTGTCAGGCGGAATCTCAGGGACTGTGTGTGTCAGGTGGAATCTCAGGGACTGTGTGTCAAGCAGAATCTCAGGGACTGTGTGTGTCAGGTGGAATCTCAGGGACTGTGTGTGTCAGGTGGAATCTCAGGGACTGTGTGTCAGGCGGAATCTCAGGGACCGTGTGTGTCAGGTGGAATCTCAGGGACCGTGTGTGTCAGGTGGAATCTCAGGGACCGTGTGAGTCAGGCGGAATCTCAGGGACCGTGTGTGTCAGGTGGAATCTCAGGGACCGTGTGTGTCAGGTGGAATCTCAGGGACCGTGTGAGTCAGGCGGAATCTCAGGGACCTTGTGTGTCAGGTGGAATCTCAGGGACCGTGTGAGTCAGGTGGAATCTCAGGGACTGTGTGTGTCAGGTGGAATCTCACAGACTGTGTGTGTCAGGTGGAATCTCAGGGACTGTGTGTCAGGCGGAATCTCAGGGACCGTGTGTGTCAGGCGGAATCTCAGGCACCGTGTGTGTCAGGCGGAATCTCAGGGACCGTGTGTGTCAGGCGGAATCTCAGGGACCGTGTGTGTCAGGCGGAATCTCAGGGACCGTGTGTGTCAGGCGGAATCTCAGGGACCGTGTGTGTCAGGCGGAATCTCAGGGACCGTGTGTGTCAGGCGGAATCTCAGGGACCGTGTGAGTCAGGCGGAATCTCAGGGACCTTGTGTGTCAGGCGGAATCTCAGGGACCGTGTGAGTCAGGCGGAATCTCAGGGACCTTGTGTGTCAGGTGGAATCTCAGGGACCGTGTGAGTCAGGTGGAATCTCAGGGACCTTGTGTGTCAGGTGGAATCTCAGGGACCGTGTGTGTCAGGTGGAATCTCAGGGACCGTGTGAGTCAGGCGGAATCTCAGGGACCTTGTGTGTCAGGTGGAATCTCAGGGACCGTGTGAGTCTGGTGGAATCTCAGGGACTGTGTGTGTCAGGTGGAATCTCACAGACTGTGTGTGTCAGGTGGAATCTCAGGGACTGTGTGTCAGGCGGAATCTCAGGGACTGTGTGTGGCAGGTGGAATCTCAGGGACTGTGTGTGTCAGGTGGAATCTCAGGGACTGTGTGTGTCAGGTGGAATCTCAGGGACTGTGTGTCAGGCGGAATCTCAGGGACTGTGTGTGTCAGGTGGAATCTCAGGGACTGTGTGTGTCAGGTGGAATCTCAGGGACTGTGTGTCAGGCGGAATCTCAGGGACTGTGTGTGTCAGGTGGAATCTCAGGGACTGTGTGTGTCAGGTGGAATCTCAGGGACTGTGTGTCAGGCGGAATCTCAGGGACCGTGTGTGTCAGGTGGAATCTCAGGGACCGTGTGTGTCAGGCGGAATCTCAGGGACCGTGTGTGTCAGGTGGAATCTCAGGAACCGTGTGTGTCAGGCGGAATCTCAGGGACCGTGTGTGTCAGGCGGAATCTCAGGGACCATGTGAGTCAGGCGGAATCTCAGGGACCTTGTGTGTCAGGTGGAATCTCAGGGACCGTGTGAGTCAGGTGGAATCTCAGGGACTGTGTGTGTCAGGTGGAATCTCACAGACTGTGTGTGTCAGGTGGAATCTCAGGGACTGTGTGTCAGGCGGAATCTCAGGGACCGTGTGTGTCAGGTGGAATCTCAGGGACCGTGTGAGTCAGGCGGAATCTCAGGGACCTTGTGTGTCAGGTGGAATCTCAGGGACCGTGTGAGTCTGGTGGAATCTCAGGGACTGTGTGTGTCAGGTGGAATCTCACAGACTGTGTGTGTCAGGTGGAATCTCAGGGACTGTGTGTCAGGCGGAATCTCAGGGACCGTGTGTGTCAGGTGGAATCTCAGGGACTGTGTGTGTCAGGTGGAATCTCAGGGACCGTGTGTGTCAGGCGGAATCTCAGGGACCGTGTGTGTCAGGCGGAATCTCAGGGACTGTGTGTGTCAGGCGGAATCTCAGGGACTGTGTGTGTCAGGAGGAATCTCAGGGACTGTGTGTGTCAGGTGGAATCTCAGGGACTGTGTTTGTCAGGAGGAATCTCAGGGACTGTGTGTGTCAGGTGGAATCTCAGGGACTGTGTGTGTCAGGTGGAATCTCAGGGACCATGTGTATCATCGGGCAGACCGCATGTGTCAGCATACCTTGGTACACGGCTTTGAACCCCGGTGAGCCGATGCTGTCGTCGGACTGCAGGTGCAGCCACATTTGGTTGCTCATGCTCACGATGAGATCAGGAACTCTGGACCCCGTGAGGCTGCACAGAGAGGAAATGGACGACATTAATGATGACAGTGAACCATCCCTCCACACCTCAAAGGGGTCGGGCTCCTCCACCGGAGTCCACCACCGCTATCTGAACACTTACCCAGTGACACTGGCATCTAAGGAAACCGTTCTACCATTTCAAACATGCACCACTTCCTTTCCCTTCAGTGACCACCTTAATGCACCTGATGGCCTAGAGACCAGTGTCTTCTCCAGGCACCGGACTTGCAGGGTGGGGACTGGGGGAAGTCTGGCAACACTGGGCAGGTGGGCAGGGCGTGTGCAAGGAGAGGTGCCCTAGGCTCTACGGCCGAAGAACAGGAGCCTTCAGGGTGGGAAGGGGCATGCTCCTTCACAAGATGCTGGGGTCATCTGGAATTACTACAGGTGGAACTATAATCTACCTGTATCATAAAGTCTGTTAAATGCTGTCTAGGAAATCAAACATGGAGGGAATATCAAAACGGACAGCATGCACTGCTGACATGAATCTGGCCGAACTTGATTGGACGTTTCCTCTGGGTATTAATGTCTAGGTCTAGCCGAATGGAAGTTTCAGTGACCGTGTGAATGTGTGCTAGCACAACAGTCTCATGGCCTCTGCTGTCCACGGCGAGAAGGAGGCTGAGTCCACTCACTGAGCTCACCATGCTGGCAGAAATAGAAGAAGTGCAGGGAGAAACAGTCCAACCCAAACAATGTCCCTGTCCAATGGGAAGCTTTGCTTTCAGCAAAGTGGTTTGGGGAGTGTGAACATGTGATCTGCCTCGTCCATCATGCCATCTGTCCATCAGTCCAACATTCTCAGTGAAGGGAGCTCCACCTCCCTCCCCAGTTCCTCCAAGGAAGACGGACAACCATCCTTACACAGGTGTGAGGCTCCCACAAACGGGAAAGAAGCGTGTGCCAGTGCTGTGTAGACACTGGCTGTGTGGTTCTTCCTGAAGCTCTGCCTGCCTTCTCCTCTGTTTGGCTGTTTTGTTTGCTTGCTCGATATGAGGAGAGATCTGTTTTGCCTGTGCATCCGATTTATAGAAGAGGGACAAGCCAGGAGCAATCTTTTATAAGAGGTTGCTTTTTTACAAAAGCTACTGCTTTTGTGAAGCTTTGTATAAGTGACATCTTACTATGTATAAGAGTTCGTTCAGCTTTTCACCAGCAAAGTTTATACTGCCTTTTTTAGATGTAATTTATTAATTTTATATAGAATTTACTTTCCATAGGGAATATTTCTGTGTGTGTATGTGTATGTGTGTGTGTGCATGTGTGCTGGTCCTAGGGCTTGCCTCAGCGCCTGATCACTGCCCGGGGCTTTTTAACTCAAGGTGAGTGCTCTGCTCCTTGAGCCACAGCTCCACGTCTGGCTTTTTGAAAGATAAAGAGTCTCAGAGATGTTTCTGCCCCGGCTTCACACAGCAATCCTCAGGTCTCGGCCTCTGCAGTAGTTAGGATTACAGGCATGAGTTACTGGTGCCCAGCTCTACACAGTATTTTTTAATCACTAAATTTAATATTGATCATTTCAACTGAAAAAATCATGCATATACATGAACTAGTCAGAACGAATGTGGAGGGATCCATGTCTTTTTTCCTAAGTTTCCTGATGTAAGGTACACGTGCATCAGAACACTGACAGTGATTCCACCTGCTTTGTCCAGGTTTTCTGTGGTGTCAGTGCTTCGGTGCATGGGCACATGTGGTCCCACACAGCGGCATCAAGGATGTAACTGTGGCGATCCTGTACTGCGGCATCGGGGATGTCGCCGTGGGAATACACTATGTATTGGTTGCTGCATCCCGTGCTGCTCTGTGGCCCAGCCTCCATCTCTGTCCTGCCCCCTCCCTAAGGCTGCCCCTCCCTGCTGGTAACCCCAGCCTATCAACGATTCTTCTCTTTAAGAGATGGTCTAAGTGCAAACAGAATGCATGGACGTGGGAAGTCATTGGGCAGGCCATGGGGCATGGGGACCCCAGGGGCCCAAACAATGGCTCTTCAAAGAGCCCACTAATGCAGCCAACATGTATGCAGAAGAGGTTATCTTCCCCTAAGACCAAACTAAATAACCATTTAGAATCATGTAAGATGTTTGACTTCTTCATTTACAGCCAAAGGCAATAAATAAACGTACCGGGAAGGAAAAATGCTTCCCAGAGTGTAAAATCCAAGATGAAACTGAAAGCTATATTACCAACTCTTACTTTGGATCATTTTATTTTAGTGCTAATCACAGAAAATTTACTTCAGAAAGCTGATTACTCCTCAAAGCAAGGACCAAAGATTATTTTTTCTTTTTCCCTGCTGAGCACTATCATACTATTTCATACTGAATAAATAATTCTTCAGAGAAGCAAGCCAAAACTTTCAGGGAAGCAGAGAAGGAAACTAAGTTTGAGTGAACCTGGAAAACAAATCTGAGCTGCGATGGCTGAGGCAACTTGCAAGGAAAGCCAGGTGTGGGTTGATATGGGGGAGGGGTGTGAGCCAGGTGTGGGGGTGTCATGGAGGAGGGGTGTGAGCCAGGTGTGGGGGTGTCATGGGGGAGGGGTGTGGGCCAGGTGTGGGGGTGTCATGGGGGAGGGGTGGTGGACTAGGTGTGGAGGTGTCATGGAGGAGGGGTGTGAGCCAGGTGTGGGGGTGTCATGGGGGAGGGGTGTGAGCCAGGTGTGGGGGTGTCATGGGGGAGGGGTGGTGGACTAGGTGTGGAGGTGTCATGGGGGAGGGGTGTGAGCCAGGTGTGGGGGTGTCATGGGGGAAGGGTGGTGGGCCAGGTGTGGGGGTGTCATGGGGGAGGGGTGTGAGCCAGGTGTGGGGGTGTCATGGGGGAGGGGTGTGGGCCAGGTGTGGGGGTATCATGGGGGAGGGGGAGCCAGGCTGGATCACGGGATCCTCGGCTCTGAGGATCTGGGGTCCAATCCAAGTCAGTTATGGGAGGGATCTCTATGTAGAAGCATTAAAGCAGGAATCTTTCTGTCTTCCTTCCTGACACACTCTCTTCCGCATTCCTCCAGTGCTGTGGGTTTTAGTGAAGGACCTGGGTTCATATGGAGGGCTTGTCCACATATGCCCATGATCAGTGATTGCTTTTTTCGATGTCCAGAAGTCATTTAATAAAAACAGAATGGGGCCCTCTGCTCAGGTCCAGAAGAAAACAACAGTCCTGCCACACTTGGGCTGAGACTGGATCAAGAGGCCTTTCCACTAATGGAGACTAAGCGGCCAGAGTAATAATAGGCTCCCTTACCTGCCAATCCACAGAGATAAGCCCGCCCCCAGTCAAAACGGATCCTCTATCTGCAAATTAACAGAGACAGGCTGGCAGCACCCCCAAGGGTGGAGGGACATGTGAGCCATGTCCCGTGAGCAGCCCCCAGACCTCCCCAGTGAACGCCAGGGAAGGCAACATCTCCCACGAAGCTCTACAAACGAAAAGTGGAGAAAATTACCCGCACTTATTCTCAGGGAGAGCTCAACAGCAATTGCTTAAGTAAGTTATTTAATTTCCTTTTGAACCTGCCACTCTCTAAAAATATAAGCGGAGAAAATCCATCCATCTCTGAGGAAGACCGGGGTCCTTCAAGGAAGCTCACAGACCGGTTTTGTGTGTTTGCCATAAACCTTGAGAAAATCACACAAAGCAGAAATTGGGATTTTAAAAACCATACTTAGAATAAGCCTTCTGAATATCAGGCTCCTAAAAACCCAGATCTGGGTAGGGAGAGCTGGAAGAAGGAAGAAGGGAAGGGGGAAGACATTGGGCTAAACACTGTGGAAACTACCCATCTGCCAGAAAGGAGACTTAACACCCATTCCATTTAAAGCATGTCTCTGAGATCCAATGGTCTGTCTACCAGTTAACCAACACAGGTGCACCTGTCATTTCTCCAATTAGATTAGAAACTTCATGCTGAGAATGATGTGGGTCATGTAAGTCCTCAGAAGTATTTATCGACGTATTGTCTAAAATGACCTGCTTATTCCAGGAAGCGGCTGGGCACGCCGCGTCTCCTTTCTCTGAAATGATTTCAGCAGATCTTCCTCTGGCACTGCTGATTAAATGCCCAACTGGTCCTGGTTTCATTATGTCCCCCGCAGGACACTTCAGCTTGATGCAGTTGGCCATTTGGTTCTTCATTTATAGAACTGGACCATTGAGGAGTCCTAATAACACTTATGTCACTGTAACACATAGCTTGCTGTCACTTTCTTCACAACAAATAGCATTTTATAAAAACCAGGGTATGATGTTAGGTCCTTAATAGTAACCTGAGGGAATTCGCCTCGCTGCATTTATATTTTAAATCTTGCATTTATTTAAAAAGTTTTCTCATTTATTTTAGTGACATCCTTCCTTAAATTAGGTGTTAGGGTAATAATAAAGCTATTTTACCCGTGGGTTATATTTGTTAGCCCTACAGAGCTTTCTCATACATTATTTCATTGTTTATCTTGCCGTGGGCAGGGAGAGTTGAGTATACATATTTTATAGCCATGAGAACAGAGGTACAGAAGGTAAAATGACTTCCTCCAGGGTCACAGAGACAATACATAGCAGATGAGAAGCCTGAAATACCTTCCCTGGTTGCCTGTCTGTCCCTGTCCCCAGACTACGGCCAGCCACCCCTGCCCTACCCAGAGCTGCCCATAACAGCGCCTCAAGACACCTTCTTGAACTCTTCACTCTCAAAGGTTAAAAAAAATGAACATTTTGTCACCTTGCCAGATTATAAAAATAAATAAAAATACTTGTTGAGGGTTTGGGGGGAAAAAGGCCTTCAGCTCCCTCCACTGCTGAAGAATGAGTTTGTAGGAAGCTTTCCAGGGTAGAGGGAACTGGGGAATGAGGTAAACAAGGGCTCTCCCTGCTCCCCGAAAGTCACCTGCTGGAGATTTTCTGAAGACAATTGCATTGCTTGAGATGCACACATACACGGCTGGGCATGGGACAGCGGCTGGCAGAGGTGGGGGGCAGCAGAGGGCCCCCAGGAGGCCAGCTGGGAGGGGCACACCCATAGCCCACAGAGCTGTGTCCCAGCCCTGAAATGGCACCTGTGCACCACACCCCGGGCCTGGCACTGGGAATGCATCCGGCTGCTGTCTGGGCTTCATCCCTGATGTGGTGAGGGTGGAGATGGGCTGACACTCACACAACACAGTCCCCCTATGTTCTCCTGGGTGCCATGCCATGAGCCAGTCTGGTTGCTTTTAAATACTTGAGACACAACCAAGTTGCCAGGGAAGAGACTGCTGTCACGAAGAAGAGGAGATAGGAGATACCCACGGAGGAAGAGGAGGTACCCACGGAGGAAGAGGAGATACCCACGGAGGAAGAGGAGATACCCACGGAGGAAGAGGAGATACCCACGGAGGAAGAGGAGGTACCCACGGAGGAAGAGGAGATACCCACGGAGGAAGAGGAGGGACCCACGGAGGAAGAGGAGATACCCACGGAGGAAGAGGAGGGACCCACGGAGGAAGAGGAGGGACCCACGGAGGAAGAGGAGATACCCACGGAGGAAGAGGAGGGACCCACGGAGGAAGAGGAGGGACCCACGGAGGAAGAGGAGGGACCCACGGAGGAAGAGGAGGGACCCACGGAGGAAGAGGAGGGACCCACGGAGGAAGAGGAGGGACCCACGGAGGAAGAGGAGGTACCCACGGAGGAAGAGGAGGTACCCACGGAGGAAGAGGAGGTACCCACGGAGGAAGAGGAGGTACCCACGGAGGAAGAGGAGGGACCCACGGAGGAAGAGGAGGGACCCACGGAGGAAGAGGAGATACCCACGGAGGAAGAGGAGGGACCCACGGAGGAAGAGGAGGGACCCACGGAGGAAGAGGAGGGACCCACGGAGGAAGAGGAGGGACCCACGGAGGAAGAGGAGGGACCCACGGAGGAAGAGGAGATACCCACGGAGGAAGAGGAGGGACCCACGGAGGAAGAGGAGGGACCCACGGAGGAAGAGGAGATACCCACGGAGGAAGAGGAGATACCCACGGAGGAAGAGGAGATACCCACGGAGGAAGAGGAGGTACCCACGGAGGAAGAGGAGGGACCCACGGAGGAAGAGGAGGGACCCACGGAGGAAGAGGAGATACCCACGGAGGAAGAGGAGGGACCCACGGAGGAAGAGGAGGGACCCACGGAGGAAGAGGAGGGACCCACGGAGGAAGAGGAGGGACCCACGGAGGAAGAGGAGGGACCCACGGAGGAAGAGGAGGGACCCACGGAGGAAGAGGAGGGACCCACGGAGGAAGAGGAGGGACCCACGGAGGAAGAGGAGATACCCACGGAGGAAGAGGAGGGACCCACGGAGGAAGAGGAGGGACCCACGGAGGAAGAGGAGGGACCCACGGAGGAAGAGGAGGGACCCACGGAGGAAGAGGAGATACCCACGGAGGAAGAGGAGGGACCCACGGAGGAAGAGGAGGGACCCACGGAGGAAGAGGAGGGACCCACGGAGGAAGAGGAGGTACTCACACGTACAAGACCGAGCGGGTGTCCCCCACTTTCCCCGCATCACCGACCGTCAGAGTGTCGTAGCCTCTTTCCAGCTCGAACTCTTCGAAGGCAAGTTTGATGACCTAAATGCAAAGCACACGATAGTTGTTTTGTGTAAGAAGAACTTCCTTTAACTTTCAGCATTGCATGTACCCAGTTTCGATATTAAAATTGGCTCGTTGGCTCCAATGTGTCTCAGATCACCCCCAAGCTTCTTTCAGTATCTATATGGGTCATTATATACATTTGGGAGTGTTGAATTGTAGAATTTTGTGAAATTCAAAATTTACAGCTGCTCCAAGTTGTTTATTAGCAGAGACTGAAGTGGCTTAACCCCAGTGCCACTTTATTCTGAGCACCTGCGAATATTTAACACTTTGGGTGCTGGATTCACTGCCCACTATCTCAAAAAGCAGAAGGAATTTTGCTTGCTCCGCGCAAGGTTTACTCTGAAGACATTCAGAACACCCCACGGGGGCACTGCTAAACAGTAGGTACGGACCCCACACAGATAGCATCACAAACACTGGAAAACACTTTCTGAGCTAACAAATGCATGGTTCTCTATCACCTTCAGCTCTGCACACCCCTCGAGGCCCCGTCCCCTCCAGTCGTGAGGAGGGGACCCGGCGCTGTGTGCACGTAGGGCCGCTGGAGTAACACGGAGCCCAACTGCCTGGTTTCAGGCAAGAGTGTTTAGTTAGGCTCCTCAGCATTACCACAGCCGGCCGAGACCGGCTCCTGCCTGGCACTCCAGCAGGCTGCAGGGCTGCGACTAGCCTCTGCCGAGCACAAGAACCTTTCCATGTAAGAGCACATACGTCCTCCGCTGACCAAGTGTGTGGTCAAGGAGAAAGATCACCAGTGCCACGCAGAGGCCAGGATGAACCCTGGGTGATCATGACAGGAAGCTAGAAAGATTGAGACAGAGGCACACAGATACGTAAAGGATAAATAGATGATAGATAGGCAAATAGAGGGACATAGAGGTATATGATAGAGGAATGGATGATGGAGATAAAAATTGGTAGAGCTAGATGAGTGAGACAAATGAACAGATGATAAATACTAGAGGTCAGAAGGTGAATAGAGAGATAAATAGATGACGAGTACACTAAATAGATACTGGGAGCGAGGGCAGCTGATAGACTGAGAGATGACAGAAAATGGCAGATTATGTATTTGGTAGAAGGACGATAGGCAGCCAGACCCATCCTATAGCTGACAGATCAGACGGACGGTGGAGGGGTGGCGGGGGGGGGGGGTGGCAGGGGGGGGGGCCGGAGGGGGGGTGGCCGGGGGGGGTGGCGGGGGGGGGTGGCCGGAGGGGGTGGGGGGGGTGGCCGGAGGGGGGTGGTGGCCGGGGGGGGTGGGGGGGGCTGGAGGGGGGGTGGCCGGGGGGGGGTGGTCGGGGGGGGGTGGGGGGGATGGCCGGAGGGGGGTGGTGGCCGGGGGGGGGTGGCCGGGGGGGGTGGCCAGGGGGAGGGGTAATGCACAGGTGGGAGGAGGACGGGAGAGAGAGAGGAAGTACAGACACCACCACAGTAGACGTACATTTTAATAGGAGTCTGAGTAATGCTCACAGATTGGAACAGAGTAGAAAGATGTCTGTCTAGGGACAGATACTCAGTGTGAACAATTTACACGGCCTTGGAACAGGTGTTTTCCTAGCCATGCTAAGAAGGAATACATTATTTTTGCTATTTGAGATTCTTACTAAAATTAGTGACAAGGCCATTATCACTTATTTTAAAATTGCGGTGTGGTTTGAACATTATTCCAGCATCTGACTTGACACAGGTGTGGGGGTTGATGGCTGTTGAAAACCAGCATAAATATTGCATATTAATCTGAGCACCTGGTGGTACTTCCATGTCTCTCTTCCTCTTCCGTAGTTCTCAGTCTGCGGCCAGCGTCCAGCACTCAGAGAATGGAGGGCGGGAGCCGAGTGGCTGCGGCCAGGGCTGCCCTAGGCCGGCCTGCTGGGCTGGGGCCGGGCCTTGTCTGGATCCGCAGCGATGGGATAGTTCACCGCGGCTCAAGGGTCCCGGCCGGGCGGTGGGAGCAGTCGCGTGGCTACCCTATGCACAACTAACTTGCAGTTTAACAACACAAATCCCAGGAAGATGGAACGTGCAGCGTGGGGAGAGAAGGCCAGGGGAGGAAGGAGGGCAGAGGAATGGCAAGAGGGGGCCTGAGGTAGTAAGATTCCCTGCACGTGTGTGAACATGGAGCCCACAACTTGAGGGGCTGGGTGAGTCTGGAAAGATGGGGGAGGAGGAGGGAAGGGCGGCGTGGATCAAGCTGCTTTACTGTGCATTGAGCGCCCTGCGCACCGCTAAAGATAGAAACAGACAGACACAGCCATAACAGCTGTGAAGAGCCACGGCATTTTTTAAGGGTTGGCTATAAGCGGGAAGGTGGGGACTCACAGCGCAGAGGAAAGGCCCGGAAACAGAAGCTGTCAGACACTGTCCCCGCTGGTCATCAAACGGAAGTTTCCCAACTGTGAATTTCCTTGCAGAAAACAAGCCCACCACCGGAAACTGTGATCCCAGCTGCCCATGGCCACACATTGTAGATTGTAAAGGCAAGTCTGCACTTAAAAATGCTAACTATCAAATGTTTTCCAAGTTTTAGTTTGCTTGACCTTGGGAAAGCCAGTCCTAAAATGACTGGAGTAAAATCAGTGACAAAGGGTTAACCTGACCGAGAGCTCCTACTAGAGAGTGGAGACCTCGGACACACACACACTCATGCACACGTGTGCGTGCACACACACTCACACACGCACGTGCGTGCACACACACTCACACACGCACGTGCGCGTGCACACACACATGTGCACATGCACACACACACACATGCACATGTGTGCACACACACTCACACACACACATGCACACACATACACACGTCTGCACGCACACACTCACACACGCACGTGCGTGCACACACACTCACACACGCATGTGCGCGTGCACAACTCACACTCACTCACGCACATGCGCGCACACACATGCACATGCGCGCACACACTCACACCCTCACACACACACACGTGTGCGCACACGCATATGCTCCTGCAGGGGTGCAGAACAGGGCCGCACCCTGGACACACACACACACACATGTGCGCACACACACGCTCCTACAGGAGTGCAGAACGAGGCCGCACCCTGGAGGGAGGTATGATGTTTCTTACACGCCTTCGCCCACACTTACAATCCCCCCCCACACGTGTAAGGGCGATTCACGCAGTGTTTCCAACATGACTACGCTCCGTTACCAGTTGGTGGCCCCGCGGTGGCCGTGGTGGCCGGACCGGGCAGGCCTCCCAGAGCCTCCAGGGTGTGCCGACACTGCCCTGGGCCGCCTCGGCCCGAGGTTTCTGTGGCGGGCAAGCAGCGCCCTTTCTCCTGCACTGCTTCTGCGGGGAGGCCACTGGCTGCCGGGATGAGGGGCGGCCCTCCCCCGCTGCAGAACCAGCTTCGCTCCTCACCCGGCCACCTGCTCGCAGGAGCACTAAGGAAAAGCGAGAGGAGCCCTGCTGCATGGAGGCCGGGCGGCCCTCCCCACCCCCCTCCCGTAGCTCAGAGCCCCAGGGTGACACGCAGTGAAGTTTGTGTCCTGTGTCCCCCCCCCCCCCGCCTTGCTGTGACCTCTGCCGGAAGCGTCCACGCGGCCGCCACCTGCTGAGGGAGCCTCCCCTCCGCCTGGCATGATTTCACCTTCCGGAGAAATCCGCCACTCTGCTCTCTGACTGCAGAACGTCTGTTGTATCTCCAATGGCCTTTGATTTTTCTTTTTTAATTTCCAGATAAACTGCTCTACCTGCGTGTTTCCCTCTTCATTTCTGCTGTCTTATTTCTCTCACGTATAGAGGATAATCACACACACTCATCAAGAATTTCCTCAACAACAGCCATCAAAACCTCCAGTGAAATTGTCAAGGATACTGAGAGTTTGCAGAACAACAGGACAGTAAGCAGACGGCAGTGGTGGAGGAAGCTCAGGAAAGCTGAGAGAGGCAGCCAGGGCCAGCACGGGAGAGCCTCTGCCATCGCCTGGAGCGAGCGCGCCGCCGCAGACCGGGGCGGCGTCTGGAGAGGGCAGCGCCTGGAGAGGGCAGCGCCGCCGCAGACCGGGCAGCACCTGGAGAGGGCAGCACCTGGAGCGAGCGCGCCGCCGCAGACCGGGCAGCGCCTAGAGAGGGCAGCGCCTAGAGAGGGCAGCGCCTGGAGAGGGCAGCGCCGCCGCAGACCGGGCAGCGCCTGGAGAGGGCAGCGCCTGGAGCGAGCGGGCCGCCGCAGACCGGGCAGCGCCTGGAGCGAGCGGGCCGCCGCAGACCGGGCAGCGCCTGGAGAGGGCAGCGCCTGGAGAGGGCAGCGCCTGGAGAGGACAGCGCCTGGAGAGGACAGCGCCTGGAGCGAGCGCGCCGCCACAGACTGGGCAGCGCCTGGAGCGAGCGCTTATTAAAAACAAGAGACTGGGACCTTTAAAGCCACAGACAGTAATGGCTAGGGAATGAATCAGAACATTCGTAGATGTGGTAAAAGGCAGAATTCATGTGTACATCAATCAACCAAAGTGTGGAATTTCCTACTAGTTTTGGGGGATAATGCACAAGGGATAAAAGATCAAAGGATAGCAGGAGAAAGTTATTGATTTCTAGAAGTTAGTGAGACTACGAAAGCAGTCAATAAAAACAGAATAGGATATTCATTAGTATAGCGCATAAAAGAGGTCAGAATAGACCTTCCCAGGGGCCCCTTACAATCCATTCGGCAAAATACAGCGGAGTGGACAGAAGAAAACACCAGTCTCAGCTCTAAATTCTAAAAACAAACAAGAATTCAACCCATGAACCCCGAACACGTGGGTGACGTTTGAGGAAACAGATACCAGCATTGCTTTCATATTTTTGAGAAACAACAAAACCCTAGCACTAAAGGAGCAGCGTGATGACCCTGGCCTCTGACCCCGGGGGAGGGGGACCTTCTAACACGGACCTCCAGCAGGGCTGTGCGTCATGTGTTAGGCATCCTGTCTATGCATGGCTTATCTGCAAACCCACCAGCTG